TCTCATCTGTAAATTAGGGACACTAGTGCTTGCCTTAGCTACCAAGCAGGCTTGTCTTTGGGGCACTTGTGAGAATGCGTAAGTGTTGGGAGACTTTAGTTCTGACTCTAAAGATTTCTTTTGTAAGTCAGTAGTTGGGAACGCAGAGGTATTTTCTCAGGAAAATGATACCATACCCGGTGGTGAAATTTCCAGTCTAATGCTACAAACATCTGTTTAATGACCATGTCCCTGGAGAGTAACACATAGCAATGGTCCTACAGATCATCACCAGTCCGGGATCATCTGATTGTGGTGCTAAGGGTGGAATTCTGGGTGAGCGGCAAAGTCCCCTTGTGTGGGGAGAAGAGAAAGAGAAAACTGGTGCTGGACAGAAAGGAAGCACCAGAGGGAGGAGTTTGGGGCTCCAATGGGAAAGGAACCCACGCTGAGCCTGTGGAGGGCCTTTACAAATATAAGGATATATTGGGTGGCCGACTGTGGCTTTGGAAAGTCCTATCAATAAAGCTATTCAGTGCTTACTGTCCTCTCTACCCCACTGTCTCCTCCACTCATCCTGCTGTTGACACCATCTATTTTTGAAGTCTTTAGGGCACACATGAATATAGCCAGCCCTTCCCCAAGACTCATGGTGGAGAAGCCACTTTTTCCATTTTTGTAACTAATCGTTCTCTACAAAATAGACCACTATACGATACATAAATGTATAGTATCATGACAGAGGAGCCCTGGGAGAATGGAAAGCTACATTTATAGTCAACAGGGTGCATTAATCTTAGAGCACCCCTGGAAGACTTCAAGGAGACTAGCTGCTCCTTGCCTGTTTTTCTCTGGATAGACCCTTCCAAATCTGACTTTTCAAATCCCTGATTGAATTCCCAGCAATCTACTTTTCCTGACTGTAACCAGAAAAGCATGTTTAAATGAACATGAAATTCCATCAGTATAAAGCCTTGTGAAGCCCAGTCCACCAGCCCCGTCGCCAAAGCCACTAATAATGCCCTATTGTGTTACTGTGGTCGTCTAGGTTATCATTATGAAGTCTTGCTCCTGGTTGAGAAAACACGACGTTCCATCAAATGTATAATCTGGGTTCTCTCCAGGCCAGAGATGCATCCTGCTAAAACCTGAAATGAGCTGACTTTTAATGTCATGGAAAAGAAGAGAACCATTCACTGAGAAAAAGGGAGTTGAGGGCTGGGGAGAAGAAAGGTGCCCTGGGATCCCTTAGTTTCAGCCTGTAGACAGTGTCTAGCCAGCCAAAGTATCTTAGATGCCCAAGGAAAAAGTGAGTCAGCATTCTTTTCCCTTCCACTCTGCTGTGGTTGGATGCTGGACAGCACTGTCTGAGAAGGTTCTTTCTAGGACAGAAGACCACGTCTTTAGGGACGACCACGGGCCTCTTTGCAATCACTGCGTTTTGGCCCATCCCCCAGCTCTTGAGTCCGGCATTCACACACATTAGCCTGGATTGAGATCGCAAGCTGGAAGGGTGCACACCATCAAGGGCTAGCAATTTTTTCATTCAGCACGAAAATACCTCTCTCTTCAAGCCGTAAGACAACTAAAGGAAGTCAGAGGAGTCCACCTGAAAGTAAAGGTAGGTGCCTGCAAAGGGACCCCCATCATTTCTTTCCTGGAGCATGTTTGGGTCCCCAGTGCACTGCAGAGTATCCTACGATGCATTTAGAAATTTACTCCAGGATTAAATATAAAAGAAGAAGCAGCCTCTATAATCATGTGCTTGGAGCTCAGCATGCTAGTTAGAGACCCTTCTCACACTTGAAACAATTCTTTAAAAACTCAAAGTAACTTGTTTTTGTTGAATAGAAAAGTAACATACGCTCATTACAGAAAACTTGGAAAGTTCAGAAAAACACACACAAAAAAAGAATTAAAAATCTTACCTTCTAGACAAATACAATTATATATTAGGTAAATCAAGAAATACACGTATGTATTTAGCTTTTTTACAAAGGTAACATCATAACGTACATAATATCAGTGCTTGTATTTTCACCTAAGGGTAGATTATGAGCACACACAATATGCATATTCAATACTATGCTATACCATGCTTTACTTAATAAATCCACTATTGTTAGATTTAGGTAATTTTCAGCTTTATTATTATAAACAGCACTGCCAGGAACATACATATAGCCACTTGTTTGAGACCATCTTGGATTTTTCCTTTAGGACATAGAATTGCTAGATGGAAAAGTAGAACCCCATTTTTTTTAAAGCATTTGATACATGTTGCCGAATTACCTCCTTGTCTGCACTATCCAATACAGTAGCCACATGTGGCTGTTTCAATTAAAATTAATTAAAAATAAACAAAATAAGAAGTTCACTTCCTTGTTTACACTAGCCACATTTCAAGCTGCTCAAGAGCTACCTATGGCTAATAGACCCAAACTGGCCAGAGCAGGTATAGAACACTTCCATCATCACAGAAAGTTCCATTGAACATCACCAGTCTAGAAAGACTACACAAATTCATATTTTCCTTAGTAAGATAGGAAAGTGCCTACCTCCCACAAGTTGGCCAATATTGAATATTGTAATCTTTAAAAAAAACCTTTGCCAACTTACTAAAAATTACAACTTTTTTGATTTTTTCATTTCTTTGATTACTAGTGAAGTTGAAATTTTTTGTTTGTTTACTGTTCTCTACTGCGCTCATCTTTTTAAAACTGCTTTTTATATATTAAGGCCAATCTTTGAGGAGTAATTGATGTTACAAAAGCTTTTGTAACTTTTTATAATCTTTTATCTCTGACTTTTTTTCACTTATGGAAATGGAAAATTTGAATATATTTAAGTATTTTCATAGTTTTCTTTATTGGTTCTGTCTTGTTTTAAGAGCTCTAAACCTCAGATTACAGTAATAGTCATTTAAATTTTCTTCCGGTTGTTTCATCCTTTCATTGTAAACATTTAAATTTTCAGTCCTTCTGGAATTTATTTTGGCATGTGGTGTAAAACATAAACCTAACCTTTTTTCTTTTCCCATGTTACTAACCATTTGTCCAAGAATCATTTTTTTTTTTTTTAAAGTAGGCTCCATGCCCCAGCATGGAAACCCTGAGATCAAGACCTGAGCTAAGATCGAGTCAGATGCTTAACTGACTGAGCCACCCAGGCACCCCAAGAATCATTTTTTAAAATAACAAATTAATTCCCCACCGACTTGAACTTCCAGTAAATGCTCTCACGTCCCTGGATTTCTTTCTAGATTTTCTATCCTGTCTACCTGTTCTTTGGCCTTTGCCATCCTGGGTGGAATAATTTGCCTTATGATACATTTTAATACTTACAGGTATTTCTTCATCATCTTTCTCTAAAAATGTTTTACCTCTTTTTACCAGGTTTCTGTCTCTAAGATAAACTTAGAATCATTTTGTAAATTCTTCTCACCACCAAAATAAATTCTTTCAGAACTTTGATTTAAAAGTTCAATTCAATTCAAATTAATTTGGGGAGAACTTGATTATCTCTATAGTATGGAGTCATTCCATTCAGGGACTTGGTGGTTCTGTCCATTTTTTCAAGTCTTCCTGTGTGTCCTGCTCAACTGGCTTTTTTGGGGGTGAGGGGAGAAAGCACCGTGATGGGCACCTCTGACTGTTTTCAGACAGTCTCTGAATCTGTGAGCTGTTGCTCCCAGCCACTAGAAGCAACAAAAGAAATTCCATTTCTTAGTATTGGAGTATATTTTCAGTATCCACCTTCTCATAAATCTCTAAGAAAGAGATCTCATTTTTCATCCAAAGAATCTGGAGTTCAAAACAGCCCTTACGGAAAAATCAAACTCCAGGGGCAACTGCAAAGCACATTTGGTGTCTCGCTGGCCAACTTATTTTGCAGGCCTCTTTTTCCAACTCCCAAATACTTTCCAGTCTGTGAAATTCATCCTCCACCACTGTTAGAGCAAGCGTCTCTCCTGGCACCAGAGAGCTCACATATTTTTAATGAGCATGGATCTTCTGTGAGGGGCTTTTTAGGGTTGAAGCTGGGTTTTAGTAGATAGCATAAAGCTTCCTTGAATGACCGGCTTGGCAAATCTAAGGGGACTTGGAAAGTGTTTAATTGGTCAGAGTTCAGCTCTCCCTTGAGCACAGACATGAAGCCTAGCCACTATCCTTTTCGGTAAGGAAACCAGGGCTCCTGCACCTCCCTGGTAGCCCACCAGTGGAATTACCAAGAACTTGAATCCGTCTGAATCAGAGGTCCCAAGCCCAGGAGGGGCGGGCGGGAATGTATCCACAGGGCACTTTTGGCAACGTCTAGCCACAATTTTGGTCGTCGCCAATGTGGAACTGGGGGGCTAGCGCGGAAAAGAGAGGGAGCATGGAGCCGGCTTACTGGGGAGAGGCCAGGGATGCTGCTAAACATCCTACGATGCACATGATGGTCCCACAACAAAGAATTCCTCAGCCTAAACCCCAAAAGTGTCTAGGTTGAGAAATCCGCCTTCTGTTTTCACTAATTGCCCAGTCAGCGTGCACTGTGTTATTAGGAACAAAGGCAATGCATTATGTAGGACAGCATGTGGTTTTTTTGTTTTGTTTTGTTTTTGTTTTTGTTTAAAGACATGACTGACTTTTCAAAGCCCACTCCAGCCGCGCCTGGAAGTTCTACCTCTCCAAAGCACGCCCTTCTCACCAGGTTTCTAAAGCAAATGGAAAGGATTCACAGAAACGTGTTAGGTCAACAGCATCCTCACACTCCCTTGCGTGCTCCTCGGTCACAGAAAGCAAGGCGGAAAGTAGGTTTTTCCCCCGAACCAGCAGCGACGCCCCTGCGGGCTCGGGCAGCAAAGATGGGGAGGCGCGCTCCGCGACAGAGGCGCAGCGCGGGGCCGCGGCCACCCCCCGCGGTCCCTCTGGGTCCCCTGAGACGCGCGCTTGTCCCGAAGCGATGCTGCTAATAAGCCCAGCCCGGCAGGGAGCATCATCAGCTGAGCCTAGGATGCAACAACGCGAGACACTTACTTGTCCAAAATGAAGTACAGGTCAAATCCCCCGTAGCAGGCTGGAGCCCCTTCCTCCCTGCGTCCCCCTTGCCCGGCGCAGATGAGCACAAAAGTGGCCAAGGAGAGACACTTGAAGCCAATGCCGAGGGCTTTCTGCTCCACGGTGGCCATGACCTGCAGCCTAGGGAGAGGTAGGGTCCTCTGCTTCCCACGCGCCTCGAACTGGCCAGGACACTCAGGGACGCGCCATCCGAGGGGCCCTGCTCGCGGGCCCTTTATTCCCCCTCGCGCTCCTGGAACTCCCCGGAAGCAATTGTCTGGAGGAGTTCAAGGTTTTCCCTCTGGTTTCCGCTTCGATTCTGTTTCTAGGTTTCAGGTTTCAAGAATCCCAATACTGTACTCCGCTTTTTTAAAGGGGCTGCTCCTGACTCGGGCGGCGGACCCCTCCGGAGGCTCCGCTAACGTTTTGCAGTTTTGAAGCAGCTCCGTCCCGACGCTTCTTTGTCCCAGCTTTTAAATATTATGGGGTGGGTTTTCAAATTGTTCTTGGTTGGAAGAGTGCTTTGCCTTTTCTCCCTCCTCTCGCCCCCTCCCCCCGTCTCATTTTTTTGGGGGGGGGGAGTAGAAAGAAAGTTCAAAGGGTGCCACCTTGTGGCCGAAGATGGCGAAAGCGCCCTTCGGCGTACGCGCGAGAGCGGCTGTGCGTGTTTTCTTATTCCTTTCTTTTTCTCATGCACCTTCCCTTTCTTTCTCCAGTATTTCTTCCCCATTCCTACTTCTCGCTCGCTCTCTAGCCTTTTTATCCCTGCCCTCTCCTTTCCTATCCTGTATCTGCTGATAAGGTCGCTGTAAACATTTGATGAAAAATTACTTCCTCCAAGTACCTTGGCTCTGACCCTGGGGCTGGGACCTTTGCAAATGTGCCTTTGTGCAAATGAAGTAGAGAAGAACGGGGCCTTTGTGATCTGACTCATCCCAGCGACCTTACTGTACTATTAGTACAGATCATAAAAGAGTCTGTTGGGGTCCAGTCCTGTGGCTGGATATAAACAATGCCAAAGAAGAGTTTGCTCCCGGCATGAATCAGCAGGGCATTCTAGATTGTCTCCATCTCCAGATTTTAGAGATTCTGTGAGAAGGTCTTTACAGCCTGTGAACTTTGACCTTTTTCACCCCATCTTTGACTTAGGATAGAGGGGTAAACAGCTTACAAGAGTATGGACTTTCCAAATCATTTGGGACCGGCAGGGGAGTCCTGTGCTAGCCTCTCTGAAGTGAGGGGTCCTCTTTAGAGTGGATCCAAGCAGGAACTCAGTTTCAGCTTCATAGATCTTCCACTTGGGGAGTCCTCGGTGCTCCATTTTCCAGCATTATTTCTCCAGACACGTCTTCCCCTCATTTGTGATCCTCTAAGACACTTAGTCTCCAGTGTGACCATCCATGGTGGTTTTCCCCCACCAGCTATACCACGGAAACCTAGTGTCTTGGGATGCTTCATTAAACAATCATTTTGTTGTGACATAAGTTTGGGGGACTCATAAAGCATTGCACCAGCCTGCCTCCAAAAGGATCCTCAATGTCCCTTCTTTCCTGGTGTTAACACCCCCCCACACACTGAATAAGACTGATTTGTGTGCAGTTGATGAAGTATGACAGAAATGATGATGTGTGACTTCTGAGGCAAGGTCATAAAAGATACTGTGGTTTCCTTCTGGTTCCTTGGATAACTTGCTCTGGGGAGCTCATTGCCCTGTCAAAAGGTCACTTAAGCAGCTGTATGGAGGCATCCATGTGGCAAGAAACAGAGATGCACTGCTGATAGCCAGCCACGTGAGTGACTCACCTTGAAAGTGGACCCTCTGGCCCCAGCCAAACTGACAGATGACTGCAGCCCTGGTCAACATCTTGACTACAGTCTTGTGAGAGACCCCAAGCTAGAAACACTCAACTAAGCCAATCCCAGATTTCTGACCCACAGAAATTATGAGATAATTATTGTTTATTAGTGTTTTAAGCCTCTAATATTGGGGGTAACTTGTTATGGAATAATAGATAACTAGAAAATCCTATTGTCACATTAAAGCTTTGAGAATTTCTTTAAAAAAACGTTTAACTGTATTTTCCAGACTTACTTGGCCGTGAAACTGTTCTTTTCAAACAACACCTATTGACACCTACATTTCGGGAATTACTGCTCTCAGGAAAACAATAATTGGGAGGAGGTTAAAATACTCTAGACTTAGTCTGTGCAACTCTTGTTTTTCCATATCTGTGAAGTAGAACAAAGCTATCCAGAGTCAATAACAGGGGCAGAAGAAGCTCTTGGTGTAATAGCAACATGATGGCTCAACAAGTCTCCAAGAGGAGACATTATGAGTTTCTTTGAACTGGCAACATTTTCCTTCAGTTGTTGGGATATAGAAGCCTTTTAAGTAGTGCATGTAGGGAAATGGGAGAGGTAGATCAGTCAGTTGAAGCTGGAGGAGGACTTGCGTGGAAGAGTCTTCACTGGGTTCCTGCTAACATTTCCCAGATTCATGTTACAGCTAAGGGATGTCTAAGCAAACTCCTCTGCCTCTCAAACTCAAGTCAGTGGAAGAACGATATAAATTGTGATGTTGGGGCCACAGATAAAAGTTTCGGAAGATGGAGAAGTGCAGGCAAACTAATCATGTACATGGAAGTGTTTGAATGGTAACCTGGAAGCCAAGGTAAGGGTAAGTTTCTTGGAGGAAGAAGCAGTCAAGAGTGTCACAAGCTGTGAAAGTCAAGAGCATAAGCCCCAAGAAAACCCCACTGATCTGACACGTGTCATTGTGTCACCAAGGAGATTCCAGTGAGGAAGTGCTGGTGGGTGTTGGACTGCACTGGGTTACTAGGAAGGGGAAGCTTCTCTTTCAAGAAGTAGAGGGATAAGGAGGTAACTTGTGAATGTTTGAATATTTTACATTCCATAAGGAAGGATCCCAGGATACTTAAGGATACCAGAAATTTCAAATGCCCTGCCTTCCAAAAGATTGGAGAGTTTGTCTTACTAGACTGATTGTCTTAAGGGTTTAGTCCTGCACTACTGTTGTAACTGAATTTTCCAGGTTTCCTTCTTTGAGATAGAAATTGTTCAGTATGACCTGCCTGTCTACCAGCCTCCAGTGATTCACTGTCCCATACTTGCCCCCCACCTCCAATATGTGACTAAGCCCCTTTTGTCAAGCTGTGAAAAATTTTTTTTTCCTGTCTTGGTAACATTGCATGTAACCTTCAAGAGTCTCAGTGGACACTTAACCATTTGTCTGGGTTCTTGACAAAAGTTCTGGAAAATGCTCCAGATAACACAGACTACCCAAGAAAACTTGGGAAATTTTTTCCTTAGAAATATTTGTCCAAAATAGGGACAGAATACAGACAGATCTGACATTTTCTACCAAATTTTGGGTCAACCAAGTAGGTCCAATGTTTGCCAAGTTCTTGTAGGTCCTACTGGTCCTTGGACTTTGGTGGTATCACATAACTTCCTAAGGCAAAATAACAGTAAAATAGTCTCTTTTCATTGTCATGAGATTTCCTTCATACTTGTCCTCCGTAGGACTACCATTTGCAAAAGGTCAAGGCAGCCTTCCTAGAAGGAATTTATCATCCAGAACAACAAAGTTTCTAAAGAATCCAAATCCATTGAATAGTGGCTTTTGGTCAAAAGAAAAGCAAAGGCACTAGTAATGATTTTAGGCCCACGAGCAAAATCATAGTCTAGAGCAAATACCTTGATGACATCTCATAGGCCAGGTTATTCACAACCTCAGCTCAGAAACACTCAAAGCTACATTGAATCCAGTATTCCATTAATAACCCTACCCAAAACCCAGACTAACTTGAAAATCAATTTAATCCAGTATCTCCCTTGAAATCCTGTTGACTGCCACCCAAATGCATAAATTGAACTTATTAAACACAGCTACAACTCAACTCTGATCAATTCAGAGCCCTGAAAAAAAAATGAGCTAATTTCATATTTTAGTTAATGTCAGCCCAGGGACAGATCTTGTTTAATCCAGTTCACAGTGAAGCTCAGCTAAGCCTGCAAACCATCATAATCCTTCCTAAATCACACCCAAGCCCAGCATGAAGTTTAATCACCAATCCACTCTTAGCCCAATCCAGCTAAAGTCTAGCCAAAACTCAAAGCCTAACACAGCAGCCACAGCAAGGAAGACACATTCCTACAAGGTCTCAACCAAGAGAATAATCCATAATTCATGCCAGCATATCCTGAAAAGAATCTGTCCCAGATCTCTCATAAGGACTCAAAACCTTGCTGAACAAAATCTTCATTTCATCTAGATCAGAGACCAGGCCAGTCCAACTCAGAACCCAGAAGAGGGATAAAATGGACCAGTATAGTTCAGGGTCTTGACAAGCCCAGAGCTTACAAATGCCCAATGGAAGACTATATCAGACAACTTAAGGCCAGCAAAAACCCAAGCACAAGACCAAGTAAAGCCCTTTTCTGTCCAGTTCTGCTCAGCCCTGGCATATTTAAGCATATTCAAGACCAGGGTCTTATTCAGAGAACCCAAACCAATTTATAACTGAAGATCCCAGATGAAATCTACCTAGGTCTGTCAAGCCCGTAACTTCTTTGACACTTTTACTGTGTGTCCAAGTCTTAAGCCAGAGAAACCCATAGTTCTCAAAGTGTGTGAACATGATAAGAATATTTGGAAGGGGTACCATGAAGGTGAGGGCAAAGAGATTTACCCACTCTGTAATAACCAGTGGAGCTTTTTCAAGATACCTATATCTGTAGAATATCAGAAAAAGTTGTGGGGGTTTCGGGGACACATACAATTTCACAGACACACACAGTCTTACAGTGGCAATTTCTTTTCCCTCTTGCCTCACATGTTCATCTCTGATTAGATTTATTGTAGAATTAATGGTAATTCCCATAAACTGTATTAGTCAGGACAGGACACTAATAGTGTAATTGCACACAGGCTATCTGGGGCAAAGCCATTACTAACCAGGTGACATTACTAACAAGATATATGACTTGTCCATAACACAGCTTCCCATCTGCAAAATGGGGTTACAAATATTACCTACTTCACTGAGTTGTGTGGTTTCAATGAGATAATGTGTGTCATGGGTAGTCCTCAGGAAACACACAATAAATGTTGGCTTTTATTGTTATTGTGGGATTCTGGGGAATTGCTTGTGAATTTCTTCTAGAGATGAGAAGAATAAATTTCGAAGAACCACTTTCAGGGTGTTTGATTTTTCTACCACCAGTGAAACAAAGCTGTTTCTGTACCATGGGCATTCACATTATGAACTCTGAGAAATGCAAAGGTGAAGATTCTAGCTCATCCAGGAACTACTGGGATTTGAAGATTTCCTAGGATACATGCAGAAAACAAACAGAAAACATACTTTGGAGCTATCAAAAATGTATTGGCAGCAATACTGTTTCTGCTAGCCAAGAATGCTAGATAGCTAAACTCTAAAGAAATGTCTGAGAAAATGGTTATAATCAGTGATGCTTTTTCTTCTGAGGCTGGTTTTTAGATCTAATATTATAATAATTGAAACTTCTTTCTGATACTGTTTTTTTTTAACATCTAACAATCCCTAGAAAAGAACCTTCATTATTTTTCCTCATTAACTCATTCATTCGTTCAAAAATAGTTTTTAGATATCTACTATAGGGCAGGTCTTGTGCCTACAGTGAAGATACAAAGATGAATAAAACATGGACCTTGCATAATTTACTTGGGAGACAAAAATGCATAAATAGGTATTGATACAACAGTTTGGTTAACCTGTCTTTTAGAGGAAACTC